GGGGAGGGGGCGGCTCGGGCGCGAGAGCTTGGCCAGGTCTGACGGCTCCTGCAGCTGGAGCCTCTCGCTGGCACATCCCAGTGCGCGCTCGGAAAAGGGAAGTTTCTGGTGTTTGTCCCTGGAGGCGCCTGAGGCTCCTGCAGGACATCACCTGGAGTCATTTGCTCCCAGTCCCATTCCCTGTGTCCTGTCCTGCCCTCAGTCCCCAACATCCCGACCCAGGGGTTGCTTGTGAGCAGCCACTGCGCAACGACGCCGGTGCCGCCGGCTCTCCGTGCGGCCCCTCATCCCGCGCTCGGATGCGATTGCGGAGCTGGGGGCAGAAGCGGCCCCTGCAGCCCCTGCAGCCCCTGCAGCCCCTGCAGCTCCTGCAGCCCCTCCAGCCCCCGCATTCCCTGCGCCCTCCTGTCCGCGACGCTGCGCTGGGTCCTGCAGCCCCGAAGGCACCAGGCTCATCCCATCGAGAGTTGTCGCATCCCTTGTCCTTACCTGGGATTGCCAATGGATTCGCCTCACCTTTACTTGGAAAATAATGATACGCGCGGAATTATGAAAGTTTAATATGATCTCGGTAAAATGAAAAATGAGTGGTTATGATATTGTCTAACACTTTCAAATGTGTTTATTAATTCATGTTTTAAATCATAAGTTTCATTCTGCAAGAGAGTCATACACAGCAATAAGCAAGTTTTAAAATATTAATGAATAAACAATATTTCTCTATTGAAATATAACATGCTTCTTTGAACAATGTACCACCGGTAATAAATCACAACCAGCAGAAAATTGCATTTCATATTTAATACAACTTGAACTCTGCCTTTTTATAAATGATATCTTTTTTGTTTAATTGGCGTCAGTTCAGATCTAGCAGATTGCTAATAAAATTCTGGATTTCCATATTTAATGATGCGTGCTCTCTAGGCTGAATTTTACCAGGAAAATGCGGCCCTTTATTATCCTAATAGAGAGCAGGACTAGGTGATGGCGGCGGGTGGGAAGCGGCCCCCGCGCTGCGGCCCAGGGCCCCGGCCGGGCCCCCAGGAAGCCAAGGGAGAGGGAGCCGCGGCTGGAGCAGGGGCGGCCGGAGCAGGAGGATGAGCAGCAGCAGCAGGAGGAGGAGGACGAGGAGGAGGAGGAAGGCTCGCTCTGGGCCCCGCTCCTGCACAGTGTCTTGGACACCTCGGCGCAGCACATCCCGCTGCCATCAGCCTCAGCCGGCCGGGATCCTCCTCGAACTTCGTGAGCGGATCCTGATCGCGGCACACACAGGGCTGGGCCGGGATCCAGTGTCCTTCCTCCACGCGGGGTTTGGGAGCCTCGAGGCAGCCCTGGGTACCGGCCC